CACAAAGATCATAAAAATAAAATGAAAGTACATGACGCATGAATACGAATAAAGGAAATAATGAGTATTATTTTATTTTATTTTATAGGATAGGGTGACAAACGAGTACAAAGTCCACCTGATCGTATGTGGATGCTGTGATCCATAGACATCTACATCTATATTCGATTACGAATCAAAATGCAAATGCGTTATCATCCGTGAGGACTACGATGGAATGCCTCGTTTCCAGTAAAAAGGGTCTCCGGTTCTCTACACTCATCATACGAAACCCAGCAGCATTAAGCTACTATTTTACGTTGGTATTCTGTGAGAGCGTGGTCCTTACCCGGTCGAGCCGACCCATTCGTGCTACAACTATACTACTAATATAACTGCAGCATGGCTCTGCCACGAAAAGCGTAGAAGTGACTGATTGAAAAAAAGTCTAATGTCCAGTTATAGAAATTATAAGAAAAAGGATGAAGGATTCTGATAGGAAGTCTGGAGCAAGCAGCGACAAAATTTACAAGCCCATTTGGATTGCCTTTGACGTGATCGATGCTTTTCTAGGAGAAAGCGATAATTGTAAAAAAACTACAAATACGGTTTTTTATCTTTTATGTACACGTAATTGTCGTGAGCCAAAGCGCATAGCGTCACGACGATAGCAGTGCATATTTCAGCGTCCATTCTCGACGAGTGCGCGAACTAAACTGTGAACGATTGCGAATGTGGAGGGATATGTTTTTCGCGACATCTTCGCGGCAAAATTACGGCGTGAATTCACGCCGTGAATCACACAGGAGTCTGGAGCCCACATTACGGCAAAACATCGTTCATAAAACAAAGCGTTAGAACAAAAGAACGTATACCTTGAGAAATGCAATGCTGCATTAGAGGAAAGAGTTGTTAGCTTGGAGAAGAAGGAAAAAGAAAAAAATGTTGAAATTGCATGCCTAATGAAGAACAAAGATAATGAAAATATAAAAGAGGTAGTCAAAGATGTTGCCATAAAGCTTAGTTTGAACCCAGAAGATATAGAAAGTGTCGAAAGAAGGAGCCCACCAACCACAACAAAGACGAGGATAGAACGACCAAGCCCAGTTATAGTGAAGCTGCGGTCAAAGCAAGCTCGAGATCAATGGATGCAAAAAAGAAGAGTTCAACTAACCAATGGCGATGTATATGGCAACGACAACAACATGCGCATATACATAAATGAAGATTTAACCAAAGAGACCAGAGTACTATTCTGGGAAGCCAGGAATCAATTAAAGCAATTATATAAATTCATATGGACTCAAAACTCTAATATATTAGTCAAGAAAAGCGAGAAGGAAAAAATTATTCGCATAAGAACAGAAAGCGATATTAAAGTCTTGCGCGAAAAACATAATAAGAACGAACAATAATTTAATCAATAATGACAAAAACTATATGGACCGCGTAACACACTATGTGATTTCAAGAACTTTAAAATTCGATAACCAAGACAGTGAATTGGATTTAAATGACATTGAATACACTAGATATCAGGATATAAACACCTGGTCTCAACAATTCTCGAATAATAATGTAAATATAATTCATCTGAACATACGTTCTGTACGAAAACAATTCAACCAATTTCTTGCTTTATTATGCCACTGTATAACAAAAAGAACCATAAATGTCATCATTCTCACAGAAGTAAACATAAAAAGCGAAGAAGTATCACTATATAAGATCCCTGGTTATGTGGTGTATTCTAACACTAGGGAGACAAGAAGAGGCGGTGGGATACTCATATTCGTGAGAGATGACTTATATTTTACCACAGAAAAACCACAAATACCAATAAAAGCAACAGAGATAATTCATGGAAAACTAAAAACTGGAAGTAAAACTACACATATATTGGCTATATACAGACCACCAAACTCAAATAAGTTAGTTTTTATCACAGAACTGGATACCATACTGAAAAATATCCCATCCTCAGAAGAAATAATTTTAATTGGAGATACCAACATTGATATATCGCAAGGTGCAAATACGAATTTATTTGCCTACAAAAACATGTTGTGTGAAAACGGCCTACAGAGTGCAATACCTACGTCAGAGATAACGCGCGAAGCGATCGTGGATGGCCGAGTGAATTCCTCGAATATTGACCACGTGTGCGTGCGGGCGAGCCGCAGCCAGCTGCTAGACGCGTGCGCACACTTGCTAACTTGTACCGTATCGGATCACTATATGGTTGGAATTAGCGTAAAAATAACTGGGAATGTATCCAACAATAATAATAATTGTAAATTACAAACCATATTAGACGAAAAAATGGTATGCAATAGTTTAAAAACAATTGATTGGTCTGATGTCATGGAAACGAGTTGTCCTAACTTATTGTATGAAAAATTACATAGGGTTTTTATAGATATATATGATAAGTGTAAGTTACAGAAAACACCAAAGAAAAAGAGAATTACGCAACCATGGGTTAATAAAGAACTATGTAAAATGATAGAACATAGGGACTTACTGTTCAGAGTTTGGAAATCATCCCCTAAGAATATGAATAAAAGACTAATGTATACGAGATTTAGAAATAAGGTTAATAAATTAATAGATAAAGCTAAGAATAAATACAGGCAGAATGAGATACAAAAATGTAACAATGATTTTAGAAAAATATGGTGTAACATAAATAAATGGATAGGCAAGCCAAAACCGGGTTTAGATGACGTTATATTAAAATATTTAGGCCAAACTAGCAGTGTGTATAATATTTGCAATAAGTTCTCTGAAACGTTCACAGGGGAAGTACAGAAAATAAAGCATAACTGTGATAAATTTTTTTTGGATAGAATTTCATATGTAAAACCAAGTGATAAGTCTTTTTACTTTAAGAAGGTAGGAGCGTATACGATAGAAAAATATATAAATAATTTAGATTTTAATAAAGCACCGGGTGTAGACAAAATTAGAGCACAAGATATAAAGCAGGTAAAGAAAGAAATAAGCCCAGTATTAGCTAAATTGATAAATATGAGTGTGGGTGGGGGAGTTTACCCGGATATATTAAAAAAAGCAATTAGGGACCCTTACTCCCTTTCTCTAATTACACCACCCTGAATAGGGCGTAAGCACCCTGATTCAGGGTAGTGTAATAGGAGTATTAGTCTTTAGTCATTGTGTTCAAAGCCCATCAAAGCACGGAATATTAAAATCAATAAATATGTTTTATAATCTGTTAAGCTGGCTTTCCACTTTGGGATGTAATATATATTATATCCTAAAATATAAATTATATCCCACAATTGCCCTTCACACTGTGAAATATATCTTTTACCCAGTGTGCGTTCGTCATTGGACGATCTGAGGACGTAGCGGAGACGTGGGAGGGTGTACAGGAGGTGAAATACAATATGAAATTATCGCTCGGTCGATCGAAAAAATATTTATAGTTTGGGATGTAATATATATTTTATCTCATCGGGTTAAAGGTTCAAAGTCGGCTTTAATCCTCTATCTAGAATTCCTATGCGATTTCTTACTTGGTCCAAAGAGTATATATATATATAGTATACATGTATATTATAGTATATATATATATATATATATATATACATATACTATAATATACATGTATACTATATATGTATTTATTCATTTATTCACAAATGCGTGAGCGTAATAGCCTGTATTCACAACTGGATGGCCAATTTCAAGATGTCCCTAAGTCCACTTAGGGACTTTATGTACTGGCAGCATCATAATAAATAACAGCTCATTGTATGTGGTTCTGTCTATTTGAGACATTTGTAACAAGTTTCTAAGTGGTAGTTTTAAAATATATTTTATGCCCTTTGTCCAAGTGATCAGTTCAAGAAGTCCCTTAGTCCCAATAACTCTAGTTCAATGGTAGTTAATATAGCGCAGAGCACCATATTATAGCGCACTATCTCTTCATAACACATAGCGCGTGTTATGTAAGTAGTCGCCATGAAGCTATTGCGCTATGGCGCTTTGGCGCTATCAAGTGTTAATATCTAGCGGCAATTATTTCTAGCAGCAGCGCTGTTGGGAGAGGACGTGTGACGAAAATTTGATCTCATAGCGCGCTATTTATCGCGCGCGACCTAATTTAATCTTAGACATTGTTTAGTTAGTGTATACTGTATATTTATAAATGATCAAAGGACACAATTGTGATAAAAGAAGCCTAACTAATGTTTTAAAATGTAAATAAAATATAGATATAAAAGTGTATATTATAATAGTGTATGTAAATAACTGATTTTTATAAATACAATAAATAAACTTTTAAATACACATTTATTTGATTTATAATTTATATTAAGGTTAAAATAATGTTTACATCAATTATAATAAAAATAATTAATTTTATTTCGATTCTAAAAATAAAATTAATTCTATTTTAAATAGTATATAACTTAAAAACATTTTTAGGATTATAGAAATTAGTAAGATTGAAAAGTATGAAAACGCGTGCATTGGATTTTCTTTACCGCTTTATTTTATTTTAGTCTAAAATGCGACTTATTACGAAATAATGTTCTTATATAGCATGCGATCTACCCAATGAACGACATGTAATGTAAGGTGCTAAGAGATATAACGTGCTGTTAAACTTAACGCGCTTACCGGCCTCCTGCACGCTTTCTTATAAATAGCGCGCTATAACATAGCGTATTTAATAGCGCGCTTTAACATAGCGTAACGTTTACTCTAGTTTTAGTTCTAAATATCACTAAGTCCTTTTTACTGTCACACCATGTCATTATTTGAAAAAATAACGCTCTTTCCTTGTGTTTAAAAGTGTTTTTTTTCTATTTTTCGGGGTGTTTTGTTGCTGTACTGTGAAAATATTATATATATATATATATATATATATATATATATATATATATATATATATATATATATATAAGCCCGAAATTACACAATCTATGATGAGTGAAAACTTGAATCGTTTTGGACTATAACGAACTGGAGTTTCAAGAATTTTAAGAGAAATGCCAGTCGATTGCTATGATGGCCAAATAAAGCTTAAAGAAGCTAAAGTGAGAGATATAAAAAGCTTTTGGAATATGTACCTGAACATTTAAGGAATTTTTACACAGAAATAATCGAAAGTAACGAATATGGTGATCACGCTGCTGAAGATGTTGCTGACGAAATGGAATAGTTTTTCAGTTGGTGGGTTTTTAGTTTATAAGCAAAATATTAGTAAGTAAGTAATATTGTGATATTCATTTTATTGGTCAATTAAAAAAATTATAAATAATTTACGGTATTTTATTATGAAGTATCAAGATAGCTTACTTATAAATTTTCAAGACTGGTTACTCCGAGATAGTTTTTCTGTCAGAAAACCTAAGTCCAACTTCTAGTTTATGAATGTCACAAGTCCAGTAAAAATCCCTAAATCCAGTATAAAAAGCCCTAAGTCCAAGATTTTTAGACCTAAGTCCATGAAATTCGATTTTCTTAAACAAAATTAAAAAGATTATATTTAATTTTAAATGTATACGAAATAGACCTTACGGAAAACATTTTGGTGTCACAGATATATTTTTATCCCTAAGGTAGCATTTCAAAAGCAAAATTAAAAACTATCTTTGCATTTTCTCAAAAGTGTAATTATGGACTTAGGGACATCTTGAAATGGGCCATCCAACTATAGATAAATAAATATGTAGCAAGCTATCATCAATCATCATCATCCAACTATCTTGTATTGTCTTTGATTTAGGTTCTCCCTAGTGTTGAGACGGTTAAAGAAGTAAGACTTTACCGGTTAATTAATAAATTAAATTTTGTTATGAGATTAAATGATTGAGTTAGTTAACTCACATAAAAGACAATACGGCGCTAGCCAGCACCACCTGGCAGTCAGTTTCAACCTTATAACTTTTCGGTTTCATAAACGAGTTGAGACTTACCTTTTTCTATCTTGGATTACTGGAAATAATGTGGATAGGGATAAAAGATTGTCCATCGGAAAATTTAAAACATACACATTAGTTGTAAATAAACAATATTGAAAAATTAATAGAAGTTATATTTTATAGAAACGTTTTATAGCTGGTTTTTACCATGCCTCAATTCATGAGGAAATTTTCCTGCAATCTTTGTTGGTCCTGTCCGATTTAAAACGTAAACAGTTGCATTAACGATTTCTGCCCATAGTTGTTTTGGTATTTCTGCATGAGCATATATCTTCGACCGTGTACCTCTACAATCACCCTGCTGTAGTGGCTACTTTTGTTCGAGAGTATATGGCATAGTCAATCTTTAAGTAATGCCATTAATGCGTATAATGTCACGGACCTTCCAGTTATCAAATTTTCCCACATTATCTGAAATTATTTCTCTTATTTTATCCCCAGACGCATTTATTGTGGCTATTTCTGACTTCTCTTTCAGATAATAGATAGAGCGTTAACTATTAAAGTCGTCTTTAAATAATACAAAATGTCTGTGTTTCTGAAATGAATATGGGAAAATTTATGCATTCTTTACTAAGTTCTTTGTCCAGAGCCACTTTAATGCCGAGCTCTTTATCTATCAACTGTCTTGCATGTTGTTTTTTTTGATACGCCATCTTTTCATAATAAAATTGTAGTGATTTGGAAGTTGTTATCTTATTAAAATGTAGCGTAGGCGGCACACATTTCAAATTGAGGTTAATAAATCCTTCGTCATGCCTTCGTCTATTTTCAGTTAATACAACTTTTCCATTGTATCTCAATGAACAGGTCTCAGCATTTGATTCAAAAGTACAATTTGTTGAGCGATCTTGTGTAACAAGCACAAAAAATAGATTTCGTACAATCGAAGTTACATCCTTAAGTAAAATATTTTCCAGTCCACCTTCAACATAAGCTTCACAGCTCGGATAGTACCTATTCCATCAGCCTCGATAGGAGTTTTCAATTAAGATTTTAATATGACAGGAACAGTGGAAATATTCCATTCCCGATACTTTTAGTGCAGCCTAGGTATCCGCACTTTTACACTATCTGCTTTTAGTTTTAATTAAACGATATGTCAAATGGTTATTTTTTATTAATATTTTAAAATATAAATCTGCCGCCAGACACCCGGTATTAAAGAGTATGTGGTTTATAATAGCCCCTGGGAATAAGGTGATCACTTCAATATGCACCCATTGGCCCCGTGACGGTTTGCGAACTATTAAAATATTCAAAATGTTTAAAAAAATCCCCTCTATTGGTTATGTGACTTGTCGTATTTTATTTGCCGTATCGCCTAAATTGTCCCTCAATAAAACCGTCTGATTAGTTTGATTTATATTCACACTTAATTGATTAGGTGCTCTTCCTTCACTCAGCCACTTTTTTCATTTTCTTACTCTGTCCTTCTTCACCACAGTAATGACATTTGAAAATTTTGTCCAATTCTGATCTTTTCCACTAATTTTCCTCTTTGTTTTTGCGTATAGCGCCTCAGCTCAATTTTTAACATCTACTCTGACAAACAAAGCTTCCGCCCATGAGGAAGCTGGCAAGTTAAATTTTCAATTTTTCTATGCTTTCTTTGCAATTAAGAGCCAACTACTTGTGATTCCAAAATATTTTACAAGATTTTCTACTGACTCTAAATTTTTGATCAAATCGAGCTAAATATTCTTTAGTCGATATAATATGGAGAACTATATTGTGACTCATTAACTTTTGATATTGAGAGAAATCAATACAGATTTCGTAACTTTTCACTTCTGTAAATCCGTTGTAAAGATGGTTTAATTCATCTGACATCTCTTTCAAAAAAGGGAAATGAATGACTTGCTGCAGTGTTTCTTCAGATATGTTCGTAGTAAATATTATTAGGATTGTACTACCTACATTCACAAACACTTTAAATTCATTCTCATATTTCTGATTCTCTTCAGCCGTAGCTGTGTCCATTAGCATGGAATTATATCGCTTACCTTATAATTATTAAATTCAAATGATATTTCTTGCTCCGGGTATAGCTCTGCTTAGAGCGATGAGAACTTTAAACTTCCACGTCTTCCTGTTCTTTGAATCTAGTTAACTGCATCTTTGACGCTTCAACTATTGATTTATTATTGGATGGCTCCGTGGCGCAGTGGTTTAGCAGTGAGTTACAGCGCTAAGGGCTGCGGGTTCGAATCCCGCACAAAAAAAATATTTGTGTGGCCTACAAGTATTTGTTCCGGGACTGGATATTTGTCCTTGTGAAATTTATGTTTGCAAACCGTGGTGCGGGTTAGGTTAGCTACCTAACCTATATGTGTGTAAACCACGATATAGGAAAAAATCATCGTGTGGAGGTAATGTTAAAAAAAAAACAAAAGAAAAGGATCCATCTTCAAAAGTTTCAAATAAGGTTTCTGAATACGTTATAGGAATTTTTGATTTCGACCAAATTTATGTCCTAAATTTAGAACATTCATATCACAAAATTTGATTGCTTTTTGTTTTGCTCTGCAACTATGTTAAGATTTAAAGTTTATACATGTTTTAATAATCAATATAAAAAAATAATAGAAGTTTTATTTTATAAAAATGTGACAATCAACAAGCAGTTGTTGCTTAGTTACGTAATACTAATATTTCATATATTTTTCAGAAAGACCGTTGTAATTTTTTTTTAATAAATTCAAATTGCTAAAAAACGTCTCGAGTCGGCGAGTTCGGAGACACTTTGTCGCTGAAGCACGGTTTGGTTACGCGATAAGTCAATTAAATTTAAAGTCAGTCAAATCGATGACTCAGATTGAACACCTTAAGTTTTGCGATGATTACGTTTATAAACGATATACAAACACGTTAGAGCGAGTTTAATCGCATATGCTATACCTGTAATCGGTTAAGTATTATAATTATTTAACCAACCCATCGCATTCGCATCACTAGTTCTCCTTGCTCGCGGCAGCATTGGGTACGTGTATTGAGATTAAAGAAAATATTCATTAAATTTTCTGCATTATTCTTATTAAACTAAATCTTTTTTCGTCAGGGGGAATATATCTGATCCTGGCGTCGAAAGTTTAAATTTCCAGGTTGATTAGCTACAGTACATAAGGTAAGTTTGTTATATTTTTATTAAGACGTGTTCCACGTCAAATGTGTTGGAAGAAGGTGACACGTACTATCACAATATAGAAATGTACTTTTTGGCTAAAAATGATTGTCATTTTTTACTTTTTTGTTTAACATCTATTTTATAGTTATATTTGTACAAAGCATTTTTTGGATAAAGTAAGTAAATTTTTTGGTTCTAGACTACAATATGTTTAAAATATTTTTCTGTTTTAATTTGATTAAATTCCGTTCTTACCAATAATATTCATTCAATAAAATTATAATTGGCCCAAAAATATCTAAATATTACAGGGCTTAGTATTTTTAAGTAATGGTCACAATATTTTTGTTATGTTTTGATATTTTGCTTTTTGTTTCAAGACATCATTGTAAACAATTGGACACATTAGCATTATTATTTAATTTTACTTATTAGCTCAATTTGTGAGTGCGGCAGAGATGAAGGTGCAGTAAATCACAGTAATTTTAACTGCCCTAACCTCATATTCACTATATTATTTTCTCAGTCACACTTCTCGTCCAATAAATCTTGAGTCATTGTTACATTTCGGTTACAATGCTTTTGTACAAACTATTTGATTTCATATCCATTAATAACATCAAACTGTAGCATACTTGTCAATTACATTCATTAATTATTATACTTGTATATGTAATTTTGTAAAACTATTAAAATTCATCTGAAAATAACTAGTAACTTCTTAATGTAAAGTTCCTCATTTATGTTTACTTAATTACGCATCTGCAGAAACTTCATAGCAAAGTCAAGTCTGTTTCAGTAATACTAGTTTTTATGGATTTTATCGCGTATATTAAATTTTTTATTTACCCGATGTTTTGAGCACTTTACAGCACCCATGATCACGGGGGGGGGGGAGGTACTGAGATGTTCAACATCCAGATGTCATAGTTAACCGCGGTTACCATAGATTAAAATATAAGACATCATTACTGATACACGGCCTTTTATTAAATATTTAACACTGGCCAGAATACATTGGAATCAAAATCCTTTTTGCCATTTGCCAAATTTGGAATCAGAATCCACCTTACACTCAAAGGTAAAATAAACACTAAATTTGGCCTATGATGGCATTCATATTTCTTTACTGTTCTGTACAATAGGTGCAGAGAAGGGGTTGGTTCAGTGAGTGTAAGGTAACTTCCCTTATGCTTTCATAAGGTTATGTTTGATAGAAGTAGAAGGAAGGGGAAGCATAGTTTTAAAGAAAAATTAATTAATATTTTACGTTATTCCTGTGAAAAAATCTCTTATATCAAAGCAAATATTATGCAAGGGAAAGGAGACAATGAAGGGAAGAGGGAAGATCCTTCTTAGAGAGAATCAAAGTGTTAGAAAGCTTATACATACATTTTCAATTTATTTTTAAAATATATTTAAGGTTATCCCAAATTCATGAAATCCAAACAAAAAAATTCTGCTTAAATTTTTAGTTATAACCTTGGGTTGGAAGTGCTTTAGTTTACGAAAAACTTCAGGGTTTGTAGCAACAAAACTGTGAATTGGAGTGATTCAGTTTTGTGAGTTTTTAAACCTACAAATATGTAATAGTAGGTAACAATAGTACCACTGATTAATTGGTATTTATCTGCATTAAAATCAATTCACACACACTCCCTGAAGGTAATGATGGTGGTTTGAAAGAGTCCAACACCAGTATCACTGGTTTTACTTCAATTATCTGTAGATATGATTACAGGAATGCCATTATCAGCCACTTATTTGTAGGTAGTAACATATTTTGAGAGTAATCGGTAGGTATAACTAATTTTTGAAACTACTTATTTTTGTAACTAGTTAATTCTGTATAGAAAGTTGATTATTTTATTATATTACTTTCTTGTGTTATGTTCAGAATAGCATTATAACTAGAGATGGGCCGAATATGGATTTTACCAAATATGAATATTCGGCCGAATGTTCGGTAAAATTTTTACCGAACCGAATATTCGCCTAAACATTATTCGGCAGGATCATCTCGGAACCTAACCAATTTATGTCGAAACTCGTTACCACAAAGTGCGCGGGATTAGCGCCGGATCGTGCCCCTCGCTTCCCGGCCACACCTGACATATTATTGCATCAACTAGTACTGTGCAAATTGCCGGCACATGCTTATTTTTTAACAATTTTTGTGAGACAAAAGTATTTCGTTGTGTTATTCTTAATGAAATATGATAATTATGTGATAATAATGAGTGACAGGAGATCTACTATTTGGACTTATTTTAGAGATGTTGACGACCCAAGTATAATGAAATTTTACTAATGTACTGTTTTTTTGTTAGATTCTTAAAACATTTTACCAAGCTTTATATTTGCTATATTTGGAAATAAATCTACAGTGCCTAAAACATAACACTATATAAGCATTGAATAAAACTATTATTTACGGATTTTATCGCGTTTAATTAAACGCGATAAAATCCGTAAATAATAGTTTTATTCAATGTGTAGTGTTCGCGTAAATTTAAGAAATCACTATATAAGCAGATTTAACCCGTAAATAAAATATACTTTCAATAGTAAAATTATGAAAGACATGACATTACTTAATTCATACATTTCAATACAATGGACACCTTGAGTAGCACTTTAACGAATGTTCGGTGATCTAGCCGAATGTGCCGAATACCGAATATGAAATGAATATTCCACCCATCCCTAATTATAACTCTCTTATAAACCAAATATAAAAGCAAGACAGTCAAGTAGATGTGTAGTAAACATGCATGATTTCTGGTAAAATGAACTATTATTCCATTTGTCTGTCAAGTGTGGTGGACAGATTTTAAATAATAATATATAGATTAGACAACATAATACCTTATGAGCAGTTAAGTTCTCTATGAAGTCTTTCTTTCTTTCTTTAATTTTTGTAAATGTTGTATTGAACACTCATAATTTTTTCAAGAATTCTCTGAAGATTTTTAACTTCGTTCATATAATTTTTTCATTAATATATTTAACACTTACAAGTTATGTCATTTGATTCTTTATTTAATATTTAAACCATGGTTTTTACCTTATTGCATCTTGGTATTATGTGCATGATTTATTAATGGGAAAATATAATAATAGAAATATACTTTAATACTTGATAATGGATAATGGGATTAATTGAAATGCCATTATTATCAAGTTTTAATTCTAATTTTCACTCAACACATAACATAAGCTATCCTTGTGTGGCAGAGAAATATTTTCAAAATTAATCAGCTCTAAATACTCTAAGTAATATATATATTTATTAATATTTTTTTTAAAAAGGAGCAATAATAAATGATAATAAGGAGTATAGTAATAAGGAGGTGTTCTCATTGAATGAAAAGCTTAGTATCATTATTGCTTCTATATTTATCATTGTTTATTTATGTAGTAAATAATGTTTATTTTTCGGGCTTGGTTAAGGTGTGAAAAGCAAAATATGACAATTTGATGTTGGTGAGGATATTTTTCTTTTCATTGTATAGTACTGTAACGACTTGGCGCGGACAAGGACTGCTGGAGGAGACAAAAATGATGCATCAGCAACCCATGATGGTTGGAGAAATGATACCCGTTCATTCTGACATACCTGTGCATACTGACATACCTGTGCATACTGAGGACATGAATAATGTGGGCTATGATAATAGTGGCTCCTATGCTTACGATGATTTATTTCCTGCTCTACCCCACTCTCAACCTCCTGTACAACGTAATATACAACAAGTCACTAATAAGTTGCGAGTTGGATCATCTTTGCATACTCAGGTATTTTCTGTTACTTTTGCCTTTATAGCTAATATCAATAATGCCGAAAATGTTGAAAGAAATTGGAAAACACTCTTTGCGACCAATCTATGTAATATTAGTTCAGTAAGATTGAAGGTTAGAATGCAACAGTACATGAGGAAAACCATGACATTCAAATCCTAAACCAGTATTTTGTTCTGGCTTAATTAGGTTGAGGTTTGAACACAGGACATGCAACTCAATATCTAATAGTATTCTCAGCAACTGAGACTGATACACTAATATACTACAAAAATAATATACTTGAACTAAATCTTTGTTATAATTTTTATGCTGTCAGAATGAATATTTAATTCCTTAATTTTTTGTTTTCATAGGTGTTTCATGTGCCATATGAAGAAAGGAAACTGGATAATGCCAATACATTCGGAGAGGGTGAGTCTTTAAGAACTTGCCAGGCGATTGCTAAAGAAACCGGGGCACACATAGAAATTACAACGAGTAAGGATGGCAGTCTTACTTTTCTAATTACTGGAAAAAACAGTACTGTTCTGGATGCAAGACGTCAAATCTTGACCCATTTCCAACAACAGGCAAGTTGATTGATGAACATAATAGATTTGCCCAATAAGTATTCAGTTATAAATTTTTTATATTTTTTAACTCATTTCTCCTTATTCGATAATTCAAATAAAGCTAAATGTACAGCTGGTTTAATAGATAGTATAATGGGTAATTTATTACTTTTTTATTTTTTAATTTTTTTACTTTCATTTTTGTATAAATTGTTCGTATATTAAGCTTTTTACCAGACTGGTAGAGCCCAAAACCCAATCATATTATGTAAGGTAATATTATGTGCTGGTAATATATTGCATGTGGTAGAGCCCAAAACCCAATCATATTATGTAAGGTAATATTATGTGCTGGTAATATATTGCATGTGGTGGTGTGTAGATGGCAGTAGGAACATTTTAAATTAGCCCAATTGATAACTATATACCTGCTTGACATTCATTTCAATTGAAGCAGTACAATATGCATACTATTAGCTTATATTAATTTTTGCATGATAATATTATCAGGTTGTATGAGAATGTTCCCGAAGATATGAACTATGGCATCTGTCAAGTTATTATAACGCATAAATACTGATAACGCCTAAACTAACTGATGCAAGCAAGATGCAATACCTTGCTGGCATGGCCAAAAGCTATTTCTCCTTTAGACATATTATTATAGTTGTGTAATTGTGAATGTTCTAGTATCTTCCAGTCGTAACAGTGGAATGACCTGGATTGGCCTTGAATCTCTTATATTCTCTCTTATATTCCTCTTTTTAAGTATAAAGCGTGTAAAAAAGAGGACAAGTTGAACATCTGCTCTCACACTAATATTATTGTAAATAATTAACCTCCTGATATATTTCTGAGATTACCAGAGTATGGAAAAATCATATATACATATGTATGTATATAGTATATACAGGGTTATTTTGCAATAACCAGCCAAATTTGCAGAGAAGGTTCAGTCAGAATAAGTAATATAGGCAAATGTTGCAGAAAAACTAGTTTCAAAAAATCTCAAACATTCTGTCCTTTTTATCTTTTAGATTCAAAATGCATGTACACGTGTGCACATTTGATCGATAGGCAAAAACATTGTGGCCTATAAATAACATTCAATTTGGGATTATTTCAAATAAAAGTAGAAACTTTATTGACTTTGCAATAATGATATATGATTATTTATATATTAGAACTTAAGTTTAAAATTTGGCTTCTCTTTTTAAAATAACCCTGTATATTTTAATTTGCATACCTATATATTAAAAATATATAACCAGCCATAATTATCAAGAAATATATCAGAATATTTATCACAATGTATTTATGTCGATATATATCCTCAGATCTTGACCATTGTCATGATCTGAGGATATATACTAAGTTCATTAATGTAGGTATATAACATATGCATCAAATTTCAAATTGAAAATCACTGCAGTAGGGTACTTCGTTTTCTTGTATTAATTAGTCATTTATTTTAAATATTTACATTAATTCTTATTGCAGGCTAGCAAACAAATATCTATCCCGAAAGAACACTATCGCTGGATTCTTGGTAAACAAGGTCAAAAACTACGTGAATTGGAAAAAGTTACTGCAACCAAGATTAGTGTTCCTAGCATATCTGATAATAGTGAGATAATTACTATTACTGGCACTAAGGAAGGAATTGAGAAGGCTGAACATGAAATAAGAGTTTGCTCGGAAGAACAGGTATACATTAAAATAGTAAAATAAAATATAATCCAAAAATTTGGCTTCTTAGCATTATAAAGTGTACATTTGGGAGTATAGTCGTGAGTCTATCTGCGTACGGGCGTGCGGTCATGTGTTAGACTTCAAAGTTTCTTTCCGGTTCTTTTTTTAGAGGTCCACTTTTCTACCATGACAAAATTCAACACTTATAAAATCTTGAGGAAAACTAGATACAAAACATTTTTGATATTAACTGACAAATATTGTTATGTCGCTCAAACCCTTTGATCTAATGAGATATGATATTTGTTTTATTACCTTTTTTTTTTAATATAAAAGCTAATTAACGCATTACATCAATTTCAGTCACGTAAGGCGTTAGAGCGTATATCCATACCGAAGATATATCATCCATTCATCCAAGGTCCATTTGGAGAGCGCGCACAAGCTCTTAGTGCAGAAACTGGAGCCCGTATACACATTCCACCTGCCTCTACTCAGAGTGACGAAATTGTTATTGCAGGAGAAAAGAATGGAGTTCTTGCAGCAAAAGCACAGATAGAGCAAATTTATCAGGAAATGGTAACTGACAGATTTTTTTTTTAATAGTTTTGTAACTCATCTTTGTAATTTTTATCTATTATGTTATGTCCTAACCTCATACAATTTAAATTTCTGTATTTCTATTTAATACCATATGGGTAAATGGTGATGTTTTTATTATAGGTAAACAAGTGCTCAACCGTAAGAGTAGAGGTTCCAAAATCACAGCACAAGTATGTTATTGGTGCTAGAGGAACAACTATTCAGGAAATTCTAAAAGAAACTGGTGTATCTGTTGAAATGCCTCCTCCTGATTCGCCTACTGGAACAATTACATTACATGGACCCCATAATAAGATTGGCATGGGTAAAATATCTAGATTCTATCAAATCATATTCAACATATAAAATGTACTACTAAAGCCAAATATTCTTTTATAGCACTGTCAATGGTGTGTGACAAAGCCAATTCAGTAAAAACTGCAACAGTTGATGCACCAACATGGATTCATAAGTACATAATTGGCAAGAATGGTTCCAACATTAAAAAGATTACTCAGGACCTTTCAAAGGTATGTTTATTAAATGTATAAAAAGAGCAGACCAAGAGGGCTGAATTATTCTAGTACATTAATTAATTTTTTTTTTTGGGGGAAGGGAACCCCCTTTTGATAGGGAAAGGGAAAGGGAGGGAGTGTTAAGAAAGAAGGAGAGGAAAGTGTGGGGCGGGGGGCAAAGAGGGGGTGTTTACTTGGTCTGGAAGCATGAGGAGTTAAGGAGTTCATTATTCGCATCCTTCAAGCTGAAATTCTCTCCAACAATATCCTACATTTTATTAGGTCAAGATTGTAAGGATGATAGTGAAAACTAGTGATTTAATTAATGAATAAGCTTTAATTCTCACTAAGACATATGAATATCTTTGGTTCCGTTGGGAGTAATACGTTTCAATGTCTATTTTTTCCAAAATAGAAAATCACCAATTAGTCACTAAATCTTAAGATAGGAATCACATCTCAGATGCAATTTGCTTTCGAGGAAAGGCATCTGAATTCAAGCAAGAATCCTCTTAAAGAAGGGCTATATCTCCTAAAGTATTAAGTAAGTCACTAATATTTTTTCTTATCTTTTTATTCATAAGTGACTTATTGTCATCAATTCCTCACTAAATCTTGACCTAATAAAATTTAGGATATTGTTGAAGAGGGTTCCAGCTTGAAGGACGCCATTATTCATGCAGTGATTAGTATAAACATGATAAGTTAGAGTATATAATCATGTAGGTAATTTGATTCTGCAGCTTTATATTTTATACACTGTAAATAGGCAAAATTCTCTATTACCTTATGATCCAACTAAAAGGAAAAAGACGTAAGGATGCTATATGTAAAATTAAACCTTTGAAAATTTGAGATTCACCAAAAATCTTCTAGATTCATGAGAGGTTATTTATATAGTAAACTTGATAAAATTTTTTATCTCCCACAAACAAAAAACTGTAAAATTAGTGTCTCCAAATGGTTGGAGACGTTGGATTAGGATACGACAGAAAAGTTGCTAGGTGTAAATTGCTAAATCATACAGAAGTGTTTTGGTTTGTGGCTTAAGCGGGCTACATACGACACGATATCGGTGGCGATCTAGGGTGGAAAGAAATCGGGGCTTTTATCGGGGTAGACCTTACACACGGGCCTGCCTAGCAGTACGCGTTCGGACTTGGAGCGGAATGCATATGCGGTAGAGTTCTTCAAAATACCTCCGACTCTCTTAAAACACCACCGTGTTGGTTTGGCATTAGCCATCTCGGTTAATTTATTCGAAAATAGAAAAAGAGAAGTTGCTGGGTGAAAAAATGCCTCCAAAAGAGATAAAAATTAAGCCACATAAACGTACTAAATGGCCTGTAATCCAAGGACGTGATTAATTTTCTCCGGATGGATGAAGACAGTTTTTATAACCTTCTAGAAATGATTTCGCCACTTACATAAAAACGTCAATTTCTCCTACCTATGCTATTTAGTTATTTCTTCTCTTTGTTCATTTCTGCTTTGGTCAAAATCTGGTTATGTATTACACACAACAAACAAGGAAATAAAATACTTTTGTATAATAATATGTATACTTTTTTTTAATGTAATCTTTATTTATGGAGTAAAACTATCAGAAAATAAAATAGCTTATATCTTTTTTTTAAACATAAAGAAAACTTTAATTTCGGACATACTCCCTTTTATATAACTTGTTTGTTGATGTGGAGATGGTGAAGGAGTAGAAGTTAGTTGTTGATAAGAGGATGAAGGCACGTAAGAGATCGAAGTGTGGTCTTGTGGAGTTGTAAGAGATATGAGTGCGGTCTTGTGTTGATAGCGTTGGAATATGAGTTAGTTGTTGAGGAGAGGCTTTATCTTCTCCTTACTTACATCATACACTCTACTTTACGAACGGCAATAAAAAAATTAGTTTAGTAGGCATTCTTGACCATGTCACTTTGCAGGGTCATTGGCTAGGGTGGATATGATTTGAATTTCGATAAAATTTCAATTAATTTATTTATTTTATTCACTTTTTTTTGGTTTTTTGTAAAATATCAGTGCCATAAGCTTCTATTCCGTTTATATGATTAAAATGTCAAAATTTTGTTATATAAAAAAGGTCATTCAGTATCACTGTTTTGTTAACTTCCTTCCGCGAGGGTTGCCGGCAGCGACTGCCAAAAGAAATCGGGCCGATGCGCCACACACGCAGTAAGGAGGGGGCGGTGCCCCGATCTAGGAAGCATCGGCTGATCTAGGAAGCATTTTTGCTCCTGCCAGCCGATTAAGGATCCCCACTACTCCACCCTAGATCGCCACCGATATCGTGTCGTATGTAGCCCGCTTTAAGACCCTTAAAATTTGATAACTTAATCCCAAGTCATTTAAACAGACACAGAAACTTTTTATTCAATATAGATTATAAATAATACTTATTGAAAGTCACTTTTTTAATTAAGCACTGGTTCAGAAAAAACTAGCTGTGTCCTTCCCTCAATCCTCGGAAGAACCCGCAGGACTTTAAAAAAACAGCTTACAATCACATATGTTACAATTAACAACACAACAAATTTGAAATAGCTTGGTAGCTATATCACCCTTCCAAGGCGTTATTATCATCCATAAATTCCTTAATAATAACTCTTTTTATACAAACTTAGTTTAATAAAGTTTTTGAACTTTGCTTTCAAATTTTTTTTTCTTTGCTTGTCAAATTTTGTATATTTTTCTGGGATTTGTTATAAAAGCGTATACATCGCCCCAAGAATGAATTACTGACTCGGTGGAGTCAAGTAACTGGTACTACTAGCTTGTGTCTGTTCCTAGTATTTAATAATTTTTAATTTCATTGGCGTAGGGAAAAAAGAACGAGCACACACACACAACACGCGCACGCACGCACTCACACACTCACACACATAAACAATTTATTACCAATTCAACCATTCTTTCTATTTGTATTTCCATAATACAAAATTGTATTTATCCAAGAAGTGGAGGCCTGGTGATACATAACCATAATATAGGTTTGTACCTAGTTTGGACACCAGTCCCCAGCACAACATTTGTTTATTTCTTTAAGCTGTCTACAATCAAATTGTGGGAAATAAATAACCGCTCAACAATCAAAACATTCTTCCCGACTGTGTGTAAAATATCCACAAAATATCTATTGTCAGGAACTGTCATCCGTTGCCGCGATTCAATTCCCGCAATTTTCCGCCATTATGTGTTATAATGATGTTGTGAAATTACTATTATACTTCGCTTGTAGCACTAATGTTATAATATATAAATTTAGATGAGAAAAACATGTTTATTATATTTTATTGTATAAACACTAACATTATGTGTACCATTTGGTATATGGGACATTTAAAGAAACTACGAAATTAAGTAAATTATTTCTCCTGGGCTGTAAATAAAAGCCGCAATGATTGCAACAATGTATAATAGATGACGACATTTAGAAAGATACTGTTGAGAGGTTAAATATTTTTATAATTGGTTAAAAATATTTCTACTAAAATCGTATACCGCTCGAAAATCTAGATGGCAAGATGAACATGAGTTTTTAGTTTTTCCTTTAACAATGCATTAAAAAATATTATGTGTAGGTAAAACTAAATTTATTGTATTTCTTATTATTTATTTAAGGTACATATAGACATAACACATTCAGAAGATAAAGTTAAAATTGATGGACCTCCAGAGGAAGTGGAGCGGGCCCAAGTAGAATTAGATGACTTTGTTAAAAATTTGCTTGCTACTCTTACATATGTCGAACTTACGGTTGACCCGAAATTTTTCAAACACATCATTGGTAAAAATGGAACTAACAGTAAGTTATAGTATTAACTGAGAGGCCTTACAGTAATATTTTGTGTTCAATGTTTAACTTATTAATTCATAATCCTTTTTTCTGCTTTTTAGTTAATAGACTGAAGGATGAGACTGGTGTAGTTATTAATATTATTGAAAATGAAGGCAATAACATTATTCGTATTGAAGGCAGCCACAAAGGTGTAGCCGATGCTGAGAGGGAACTTAGGGAGATGGTTATGAAATTGGAAAACGAAAGAACGAAGGAGGTATATGTTGATCACAGATACATAAAGTCTCTGATAGGCGTTAGAGGCGATAAGATTAAGGAAATTCGCGAAAAATTTGAACGTGTCCTTATCACACTACCAGATCAGGGTCAGAAAAGAAGCCCTATAAAACTGAGAGGACCACAGGAGGACATTGAAAAATGTGAAAAGTACTTACATAAAGTTATAAAAGAAATTGCAGAATCATCATATGTACAAGAAGTACCTATTTTCAAGCAATTCCATAAATTTATTATTGGTAAGGGTGGCGCAAATTTGAGGAAAATTCGAGATGAAACACAAACTGTTATTGATCTTCCTGCAGAGGGTGATGAAAGTGATGTTATCACAGTGCGAGGAAAACGCGACAATGTTGAAGAAGCTGTCCGCAGAATTCAACAAATACACAATGAGAAGGCCAATATAGTTACAGAAGAGGTAACAATTGCACCTAAGTATTACAATTCATTAATCGGAGCTGGTGGAAAACTGATTCATTCCATAATGGAGGAGTGCGGAGGAGTTTTGATTAAGTTTCCACCAGCAGACAGTGATAGTGACAAGGTTGTAATTAAAGGACCCATCGAGGATGTAGAAAAAGCTAAGCAGCAGCTCCTGGCGCATGCTTCAGAGCGTGAATTGACATCCCATACAGCTACTGTACGTGCTAAACCTGAACATCACAAGTTTCTTATTGGAAAGAATGGTGCTAACATTAAAAAGATCCGAGAGCAGACAGGTGCAAGAATCGTGTTTCCTACTGAAAAAGATGAAGATAAAGAAGCTATTTTCATTATTGGTAAGAATTGTTGTATGTTTGTTTTGTATATAATATCCCAGTAAAATTTGATTTTCACTACATGACTCAAAGATCTCAGTATAAAAAATGGCGTCTTACCTATTTTCATCTCAGGGTGGGAGGTGCTCTTCAAAATTGGGTAGTTGACACACACACAGACACATCTACATATTTTTATTTTTTACGCGGATCTTAACTAAATAATTTTAACACCTTTAAAATAATGGATCTCTGCAAAGTAAAAAATACCTGATTCTATTGTGTTTGATATCTCTTCAAAATATTTTAGCAGCAGCTAGAATAAAAGACCGTTTTTGAATTTATGTAGTATAAAACTTAGTTTATTTGAACAATTGTATACAGGACGTGAGGAGCAAGTAGAGGCAGCTCGCAAACAACTCGAAACTGCAGTAGCGGAAATTAGCAATGTGTCCGAAGGTGAAATGACGGTCCCTCCGCGCCACCATCGGCACTTCGTAGCTAGACGAGGTGAAGTTTTGCGTCGGATCGCGGATGATTGTGGAGGTGTACAGATTTCCTTCCCGCGTCAAGGCGTCAGTAGTGACAGAGTCGTTCTGAAAGGACCAAAAGAATGTATTGAAGCTGCTAAAGCCCGTATAAATGAAATCATTGAGGATTTGGAGGCGAAGGTATGTAATTCTTTAATATATGATACTAATAACATTAAGCAATATTAATTATTTATTAAATATTTACACTTTATTTCATTTCAAAGATGTTATGATATTATTTAGGTTTATACCCGGTGATTGTGAAATGCTCCCGAAAACGAAGACAGACGACAGTATTTACGATACCTTTGATGATGGGTGAGAAAGAAAATCGATCCCGATGAAAAAAATCTTTTCACAATGCTATTATTATATTTAGCTTTATTCACGCTCCATCATGTTAGTACAGCTAAATGAAATGATAATTTCGTTTAAAAGATCATGAAAATACTTAAACATAAAACCAGCAGTAGAACTTAAATAAAACCACCTGACAATAGAGTCAATATTCGCGCGGACGCCGAACTCTTTTATCTAGCGCGGTACGAAACAATGCATTAGGTTTTTCGGTACTACACTTACACTCACTCTACCCTTCCCTTTCACACACGCTCTGCCGGGGCCCAGCCGACTACAAGTCCACACAACAAGTCCACTGCTGAACATAGGCCTCCCCCAAGTAATGCCACAAAGCACGGTCCTGAGCCACCTGCATCCATTGACTTCCTGCCTAGTGTCTTACCAGGTCGTCACTCCATCTAGTGGGGGGTCGCCCTACACTACGCCTACCGGTACGAGGCTGCCACTCGAGAACCTTTCTTCCCCATCGGTTATCGGTTCTTTGAGCTATATGGCCGGCCCATTGCCATTTCAGCTTACTAATCCGTTGGGCTATACCGGTCACTCTGGTTTTACTGCGGATAACCTCATTTCTGAGTCTATCACGCAGAGAAACCTTGAGCGTCCTCATACGGCCAGCAGTGAAGGACAACATCTCAGATCCGTAAGTCATCACTGGCAACACGCACTGGTTTTAGTAGTACAATCTAGTTTTCAGAGTAGTTGAGGTATACCTGACGAGAAGATGTGTCGTAATTTCCCGAACGCTGCCCAGCCGAGTTGAATCCGTCGATTGACCTCTCGGTCGAAGTTGGACTTGAATTACCTAGTCGGACAAATGTCCCAGGTAAACGTACTCGTCAACAACTTCGAGCATAGTGCTCCCAACTACCGGCATAGGTGTGACATGGGCATTAAATATGATCTTTGTTTTGTCCATGTTCATTTTAAGACCTATCCGTTGGGAGACATCATTGAAGTCATTGAGCATAGTGCTTAGGTCCTCCAGCGATTCTGCTATAAGGACTATATCGTCGGCAAATCGAAGGTGAGTGATGTACTCGCCATTGATGTTAATACCGTATCCTTTCCAGTCCAGTAGCTTGAAAACGTCTTCCAATGCAGCGGTGGAGAGTTTCGGGGATATAACGTCGGATAGGTTTCGAACTCTGGTTCTGTACTCGGATAGCCATCGTAGCCCTACTGTACAAACAATTCAGCACTTCGATATACCGAGAGTTACCTTGGCACCGCTGAAGGGACTGTAGCGCCGCTCAAATTTCGACGGAATCAAAGGCTTTCTCATAGTCCACATACGCCAGGAAAAATGGCACATTGTACTCTCTCTAATGGACGCCTAGCTTTAGATTGCATTATGTATATGGACCTTTTTTTTTTTTTGTGCAACCTGTGGATTTCAAATTTATCTAATAAAGTTGTAATTGGCAGGTCACCATAGAATGTGTGATACAGCAAAAGCACCATCGTACAGTAATGGGTGCCCGAGGTGCCAAAGTAAAGGACATTACTGCAGAGTTTGATGTTCAAATTAAGTTCCCGGAACGTGATAACACTGAAGGTGCCGATATACCTGTGAGGAATGAAGAGAGCTCTGAACATGGTTTGAACGATATCATAAAAATAACAGGTCGTCCCGAAAACTGTGAAGCTGCAAAAAAAGCACTTTTGGAACAGGTGACTTAATTTCTTTATGCAATATTAATTGTGAATTTCATACTTAATGTAAAGCTTTTAACTTATTATTATGCTGGTCCAATTAATAGTTATGTTAATGCTTGAAACATTTTTTTTATAGGTTCCAATAACAATAGATGTTGAGGTGCCTTTTGATCTTCACCGATTACTTGCTGGCCAAAAGAGGAGGGAATTGATGCAAACATATGATGTTCACATCCTCATGCCACCGAGTGAAGAAAGCAGTGATGTGGTTAAGGTCAGTTTAGATAATAAAACACATGCACTTAATAATAAACATAATAAAAATATACATATTACAGGGTTTTTTTTTTGAATGGATGGCCACATTTTGCTTGTAATAAAAAAACTAGTGCAGATAATACTTTTATAGTATATGGTGACTTAAAACCACGTTTAAGTCACGCTCATGCGGAACTTAACTAGCCGATTATTGTACGATATATTTTACTTAAGAGCTTATACTACCTCAAATGGGTTAGCATGATCCTCCGTTATGCCGAAAATACAAAAAAAGCAGGTCTTGTGTTTTTTAATTATTATTATTTTCATCGCAAAAAATTACCTAAATTATCGGCATCTTGAAGCTTGTTTCCTGCCACCCAACACCCCCGCTCAGTTTCGCTTCGGCTTTCGAACGGGTGAGCTGTGTTGCTTGCGCTTAGAACACACATTACGAAACAGTACGACGTAAAATTAGAATAGGAAATAAACGTAATAAAAATAAGAAGCGCGCGACTGGGTTGGCGTAAAGAAACAGGCAAATATATGATAAACGTAATGAAGTATGTATCTACCGGCCTATCTACTTACAATATTAGAGATTACAAACATCTACGTAGATAGCATACGAAGCGTGGGGAAGTGGGGGGGAAGTTAGAATTTGAGCTGACGTTGTATAGGCTCTTAAGTCAACATAAAATTTATAATATTTTATAATTTTTTAAAAATTTCAACTGTTCAAAAAGTACAGAACAATAGAACTTTAATTAGTGACATCTATTAGAATACTTTAAATTACAATCAAAACATAAATCATTTGATCACGAAATATAAAAAAAAAATTGACAGTCCTTTAAATTTTTGTACATTTTTAGATTGAACTGTATTTTAAAGTACAATTATTAAAAGCACAATTACTATTACTACCATTTACCGTCACATTAATAATTGCTAAAAAAATAAAATCGTTAAGAATTCGCTTTGATAAATCATTTACACATAAGCCATATAACAGTGGTATACCATTTAACAGTGGTAGAGCCACGCGGCAGCTTTGCTGTTGCACGTATGGGCCGGCTCAAACCGGGGTGGTACCACGACCTCACAGAATACCGGAGTGAAGTGGAAGCTCTGCTTCCGCGTTTCGTCTGGTGAGTGCAGGTGGCCGGAGGCCTAAATCCCGCCCCCCCATCAACATGGTAGCGGAATTAAATGATGATAGACTAGCCCAGGAAGGTACCAGCACCCCTGGAGAATCCCTCGCTGAGCATCCACAACCATGTTTCTCCACTTCTGAGCGTGGGTGCTCAGGCTGCCCCGCGTATTCTGCAAAATTCGCGGGGGGCAAAATTCCGCTCAAGACTACAACTGTTCGGAGCAAACGGAGCAACAAGACCAAGGCGACCCCTGCCACGCTGTCCGTGAATTTCTGCAATATCAGGGGACTTCACTCTAACCTAAACGCCGTCCACTACCATCTCGAGACGACGAGGTTGGCTCTGCTCTTTCTGACCGAGACGCAGGTGTCCTCTCCGGCTGATGTCTCGTATCTCCTACCCGGGTTACAAACTGGAACACTCCTTTGTGCCTCGGGCTGGAGTTTGCGTTTACGTTAGAGAGGACATCTATTCTCGACGCCTCGGCAGACTTGAAGGTTCGGACCTGTCCATCCTTTGGCTACGCGTAGATAGCGACGACCATCCGCGCGTCTACGAGTGCCTCTATAGGTTCCATAGCGGTAATGCCGAAACAGACCGACTCTTCGACCATGTCCAAATGGCTACAGATTCGTTGCTACAGCAGATCCCTTCCGCAGAGATCGTGATCCTCGGCGACTTTAACACCCACCACGCCGAATGGCTTGGTTCACGTTTAACCGATCGTGCTGGGAGATCTGTTCACGATTTTGCCTTGGCATATGGTCTGACACAACTGGTTACTTCGCCTACGCGGATTCCAGATGTGGAGGATCATGTACCTTCCCTGTTGGACCTTCTGCTGACCTCACCCGGACGGATATCAGATTTCCGTCGACGCACCTTTAGGCTCCTCGGACCATTGTCTTGTCTGGAGTGTGGTGCCACTCACGCTGAAATCGCAGTTGCATTCTGCAGGCTGCCGCCGTGTTTGGCACTACAGGTCAGCCGATTGGTATGGGATGCGGTCTTTCTTTGCTTCTCGCCGGACGATCCCAACGCTGTTTCTTCTGCATATCAATGATATGTTGCAAACCAAATGATATGTAACATTCATTGCTATGCAGATGACAGCACTGGTGATGCTCTTTACACCGGCCGTGCCAATATTTCTCGGGAAAACGTCTCCGAGTACCGGGACAAACTTGTGTCTGAAGTCGAGTCTTTGCTTAACAGAGTCTCGGATTGGGGGCGACAAAATCTAGTCCAGTTTAACCCCCAGAAGACACAAGTTTGCGCGTTAACCGCTAAAAAGAACCCCTTTGTCGTATCTCCTCAGTTTCAAGGCACTCCCCTTGTTGCCTCAGCCAGTATCGGAATCCTCGGCGTTGACATATCGAGTGACGTGCAGTTTCGTGGTCACTTGGAAGAGAAAGCCAAATTGGCCTCTAAAAAGCTTGGCGTACTCAGCAGAGCGTGACGGTATTTCATGCCGGCACACCGCCTGCAACTTTACAAGGTGCAGGTTCGGCCGCACAAGGAATACTGTTCGCATCTCTGGGCTGGGGCTCCCCAGTACCAGCTCCTTCCACTTGACCGCATCCAACGCAGAGCAGCTCGAATCGTCGACGACCGAGTGCTTTCCGATCGGCTTGATTCACTGACACTGCGAAGAGATGTTGTATCTCTTTGCATTTTCTTTTTTCTTTGGAGAGTGCTCAGAGGAATTGTTCGGATTAATCCCAGCCGCCAAATTTCGTGAACGCACTACGCGGCAAACGTCCCGATACCATCCACACCATCTGGATGCTTGGCGGTCCATACTGTACGTTTCAAGAGGAGTTTTCTTCCGCGTACAACCTCTCTGTGGAATAGTTTACCACCGGCGATTTTTCCGGACCGATACGACATATGGACCTTCAAGAAAAGAGCTTACTCCTTTCTAAAGGGCCGGCAACGCACCTGTGATTCCCCTGGTGTTGCGGTTGATCATGGGCGGCGGTAGTCACTTAACATCAGGTGAGCCGCATGCTCGTTTGCCCCCTCTTCTTCTTCGACTTCGCTCGTGCGCTAACTTCGCATCGTTCAATAATCGTCTACTTAAATCCCTTGTGTTGTAATGTACCAATAAATTAACTTTTTTTAGTACAATTATTTGTCTGTAGGTAACGGGCACTCCTGCAAATGTAGAAAAAGCCAAACAAGCACTAGCCGAAAAAATTGTTGAGATGGAAAAAGAAAAAGAAGATCGTTTTCTCAGGTAAGATTTTTAGACAATATTATCAGTAGAAATTTGTTAACAAAAGGGACTTAAACAAATCTAAAAAAGAAATCGAAGATATTGTGCACTTAATACCAACAGGAACAAAAGGTGTTTGTTTCGAACAATTTATTTTAATAAAAACTTAAAATATCTAAGGACAGACTGCTCTAGGTTGGTTTAGGTTAGGAACAAAAGGTGTTTGTTTTGAACAGTTTAAAAAAACTTATAATATCTTAGGAGTCTGTCTAGTTGCCACCATCTTACCTATTCCTACGACAGTTGCAATGTTGTGTTGCGGTCTGAAAGTTATAGACAGTCAGTCTAATTACAGGCTGTGGGACATTCCATTTTAGTCTTCAGAAGTTCAGAAGCGACAGTAGCCTAATGGCAGGGCGCGGACCGCGAACCCTAAAAGATCGTGGGTTCGAATCCGCCATTCGACTACTGGCGTGAACCACTCGTAACACAAGCAGTTTAAGCTTACCACTAGTGGTTAAGGGGAATATTAGTAATGTTTATAGCATTGTTAATATTCTTTTAAATTAAAAAAAAAGAAGTGACAATGCATCTCCAGCTTTCTTTGTTAAAAGTTGACTACAGGTGTCAATGGACTACAGTACTTACCATCAGGTGGACTGTAAAGTCAGTTGAAAAGAAATCGTCATTAATGTAAATTTTGCAGAGGAAACTTTTTATTTATTCTTTAAAAAGGATTACATGAACAGGATCATATCACGATGCCGAAAAGCATTTTTCGTGTTGTGCCGCAGTTAGTGCATATTGATTTGGTATGATTTCAGCATAAATATATTTATTTAAGTTTTCTGTCTTTACATCCTAGACAATGAATTACTATGCTTCTTCATAGAACTGAACTTAGGTGGAAGTACACATCACATTATAGATTGTTTTAATTCTCAAGGTAAAATTGGTATGGTCTGGATATGTGCATAGGAGTACCTACAATAAGTTTGTCCAGAACATCACCTCCGCCCTTTGTTTTTTACAAATAGTTTAAACTTATTATTTCTATAAGCTTCTTAGTAGGTTTTTAGTATTCGTTTTTTTTTTCATTATCTTTTTTTATAGGATAAGGGTGACAAGTGGGCACACAGTCCACCTGATGGTAAGTGGTTTCTGTGGCCCATAGACTACATTTATCCTCGTTTGCGAATGTAGATACGTTGTCAGTCGTGAGGACTAAGATGGAATGCCTCTTTTCTAGTAAAAAGCGTCTCCAGTTCTCTACACTCACCATACGAAACACAGCAACATTAAACTGCTATTTTATGTTGGTATTCCGTGAGAGTGTGGTCCTTCCCTGGTCGGGCCGACCCATTTACAACTATACATTAATATAGCTGCAGCATGGCTCTACCACGAAAAAAAATCTGAATAACTTTTTATCTTCTTTATTATGGTACTGTCACAGAGTGTAAATGATGAAAATGTGGCATTACTGCATGTCATATTATTAACACGCACTATCCCTAAAGAACGTGGTATTGAGCGCCGATACTTATTTTGATGGTTTATAAGAAATCAAAATGTTCCTCATTTATATTTACATGACTACCAGATATACAAAGCCAGTGGGTGTTCGTTTATCTCATTCTCTACTGATATATATTTATTCGCCATAAATATTTAATATTAGTTTTGTTTAACAGTCTTATCAACATTGCAAGCCTAGTTTGTTTCTTAAGTATCAATTATAAATGTTTAAAACAATATATTTAATAAAATATTCTTACAGATCATTTGAGCTGAAATTCAAAGTTGATCCTGAGTATCACCCATTAGTCATTGGAAAGGGTGGAGCAGTGATAACAAAGATTCGTACAGATTACGGAGTACAAATAAACTTGCCTAAACGAGGAGAACCTGATGATGATATTATTACTATACAGGGATATGAAGATAAAGCATTGCAAGCTAAGGAAGCCATTATGGCCATCGTCCATCAACTTGTAAGTGAATTTGTGTCAGTGTTTATTCATCCAATAATTAAATTTAATTATTATCATTGTATAATACAATTACAGTTGACCCGCGGTAATCCGACTAACGTTTTACAAGACGGTGTCGGAAAATCAAATTTGTTTGACTATAGAGTACTGCCACAGCACCCTGGTGGTCTGGAACTTTTTGAAAAAGAGTCGTATGAAATATAGGATAACAAAAAATCAAAAAAAAATCATGTGATGTACAATGAATACCTAAACAGTAAATAATGAACCCCGGCTAGGCTGCTACATAATCACATTAAAACCCAGACAATACGCGTCAAGCAAAATTCTTGGTGGCGTACACTAGTTACAACCTGATTGTCCTCGTATTCGAGAAGAACACCAACCCCCGTGGCGGATTAATATCGTGACTCAACTGTACCACCTACATGTTATAGGCATGTCGGATTGCAGGGGATGCAAGAAAATACAGGGGCCGGACCGGGGGTCCACTGTATTTGTGTCTGTGTAAGTTATGTGAGAAACAATAAATTTTGTCAATCTGCATTGTTACCACCATCATATTTCTATTGCTAAGCAGGATATTTACTACTGTGTTCATCTTAATCCTTAAGTGTCACAAATCACAATGGATTTTTGATCTTGTTTGTTTGAAGTTGATTGCAGATGCTCATGACGTAGCGACTTAGCACCAGGTGGAAATTTAGCTGGTTTTTTATCCTAATTTTATGAAAAAAAAAGCTTTTAGAGCCTAACATCTCGTAAAAATTAATTCAAGTAAATCCATGCCCATTACAGATAGTAACAAAATTTTTAAGGAGTTTTCTTTTTGCTTTTTGGTGGTTACCATTGAATTGGGTATTTGACACAGTCAATTAACTACTTAACAAGAGTTTTCAAAGCATACATTCTATAGAAATTTTACATTTATAACATCATAGCTTTTAAAATCAAGTTATTGTTTTATTTATATAAAAGTAAAAATCTAACTTACAGTGGAAGAAAATCAATCATGTTTTAAGACACAACTACTAAAAGAAGCAAATTTAAATTAAATGATAGAGTAATTTATTAAGAGTTTTTGTAGTTGTAAATGTTTTATTCATTCATTCATTACAGCCTATCCAAGTCCACTGCTAAACAAAGGTGTTTCCATGGACTGGCTCATAAGGAAGATGTTTGCCAAGATTGCCACTCTTGGTAGGTGGGTTAGGTTATTGGGGAGACACTACTGGCCATCTCCTTGTTTGTTTTCCTTCGTCGATGCTTACGACACACAGGGTATGGGGTAGAGTATTGTTACACTACCACTACACAGATTCATATTCTATAAGCTCCTTAAATTGCACCCACTATTATGTCTTGTATTGAAGGGTAAGAAATAGAAATATGCCGAAATTGTTGACACATAGTATATCTCATTGCTCACATGTCACAGCAAAACTTTGTTTAGAATAGGCTGATGGTTTCCATCGACTGATATGGTCACTTACTATTAGATAAGCTGTGAGCTTATTTGTCACAAATTTATTGAAGTAAATTACTTATTTACACATTAAATTGACTTTGATTAATTGTTTGATGAAATTGTTCATATGTTGACTTTATTGGTTAGATGAAACATATTTTTATCATTTCAGGATAACCAATTTCGGGATGAAGTTGACATTGATCCACGTGTACATAGGAGGCTTATTGGTCTTAGAGGCAAGAATATCAGACGTATCATGGACGAGTACAAAGTTGACATCCGTTTTCCTAAAAATGGCGATGATAGCATTGTCGTCATTACTGGGGATGAAGATAATGTGTTAGATGCCAAGGACCACTTACTAAATTTGGCAGAAGAATATGTAAGATTGTGCATATCATACTTTACTTCTAAATCTGAACCAGGAAAATTACAACTTTGTCATGTCATAGACATTTACGAAACTAATTTCCATTACTGACAACTGGTAACACTTTGCATCATTGTTAACATCAAAAGAAAAAATAATATTGTTATTATAAATTTTTTATGTTGTTTACCAGATTAAAATGAAGAAAATTTATATGCAACATTGTAACCTAGGCATAGGAGCATAGGGGCCCACTGTTAATTTCACAGTAAATGAGCAACTTGGGTTTGATCCCCCTCTTCATCAATGAAATTGTTAAACGCAATTTTAAGCGCTGATTTATGTGGTGCTGATTTTTCTGTTGTGTAGGCTAAACCTTTTTCATTGGTAATGGACTCAAACTACTGCCAGTGCCAAGTCAATAAATTGCTTAAAAACTTCTTCACAATATGTGGATGCGTCACATTGTGAACTTTTTGGGAGATTTTGATGGCAGCTTGAGCCAGCAGACAGTTGATAATGATTGTTTATTAAAGAATAATAAATACATTGATTGAACTTGAATGATACATTATTTTCAAATTAATTTGTGGGTACGATACGCACGCCACCTACTGTAAGTTAATTGTATTATGCCTATAACCTTCACACTAGTGCAAGCAATGAGTTGACAAAGTTCTACCACAAACTGAACGGTAGCGCATAAAATACGATAATTTTTATATAAGTTTTAGATTTAACCTTTTTAAGCTGACTGAAGAGTATCACAAACTCACACAACAACATGTAACAACAAGAATGTCGTTTTAATAGTTACATCAAAAACTTCATCCGCTATTTTACCACCCTTAGAGGTGAAATTATATGTTTAACAAATTTATATGAAAGGAGCCCTGAAATTTAACGATGGCAGGATTTTAGGAAATGCATATGGAAATGAATTGGTTATAAAATATGCGAATATTCGCGAGTGCGAATTGCATGTCGCGTACACCTGACATATTTGAGATTGTGTTATATATTTAAACACTTTTCTCAAAAGATCATACTGGTTGCAGTGATACTGCTCTTGCAAGATTTCCACTCTTCACAAAAAAAAACCTATTAGTTGTCTCCTAACACAGTTACTATACAAAATAGTATGATGAATTCTATTAAGACTCCTCATTTTTATGTTATTACTTATCGGTTGATACATCACACAGCTGCAAGACGTCGTGGACCGATACCAGCGTCCTGCAGCGCCTTCTCTTGGTGACTTCGGCGATGTTCTCAGCGGAGAGAACACCGCCACCAGCAGTGGGACTCCGGCTTCTACCGGTTTCGTGGTGAAGGGCGGTCCGTGGGAGCAACGCGCGCCCGATACGGCCTCGACGCACGAATTTCCAACCATGCCTGGAGCACCCGCCCCTGCTCCGACGTCGGCGCACGCCCCTGCTGCTTGGGGACCGAGACGCTAAACATGCGAGGCGTGAATAATGCAATGCAGTGCAGTTTATAAGTAGTGGTTACATAATTACCATAATAAAGATACTTGTCTTGCTTGAACAGCAAATGCTTCTGTTACTTCTGTTTTAATAAGTGTGTAGGACACACAATAGCACTATACAACTTTTTTATATTTAATAAGTCAAACAGTTTTGGTTATGAGTATTTTAAATGTACCATTTTTGGTTTACTGCTTGCTTGCTTCATGTAACCATTATTATTTTATCACATTAGACTGTTTAAAATATTCTTTATCATGTTATTTTATCGATTATTATTATATTAAAAGTAATTTTATTTAAAAATTATAATGCATAATGTTGTCAAAATATAAATTAACATAATAGTCATCTCTGACTCAATTATTTTGTGACTTATTATATTTATTATTATATTACAATCAACATTTGGTCCAATACAACTATAAACAAGCTTGAGAAAATTTTAATGTAATGTTGTTTTTAATTTCACTAGTCTTGATAAATATTTGTGTATTATTACAATTTGTTAATTTAAAAGGCCAGGAATCTCGACCTCTATAATCAAGGATATTGCAATATGTCATAGAGCTTATGAAATTTAGGTGTATATAAGATATATTATTTATTGAATAATAACATTATTGTATCTTATATACATGCAACTCAAATAAATAAAAAGAATATTAAGAATATATGTTTTTGGGTTTGTGAAAGTGTTTCAATACACTACACTACTTATAAACTATCCTGCAAAAAAATCATCATGGATGTCACGAGTGAACATTATATACATTATAAAAATTTGGTTTATGTAAAATGTTGCTCTCATTTACTATATCACGTATCTTGTTACTTTTTTATATTTAGTTGTGAACGCCGTTACTACAATTAGTATACACATACAAACAATTATATTTACAACTCGTGATATACTCCATGAGGACGGGTAATACACATAATAATATGCATATTACAGTAATTTAATATGCATAATATGATTTACACACTAAACTCATTTTAAGACCATTACTTGAACATAATATATTTAAGTTTAGAGTTAAAGCAGTTATGTTTTCCTTAACCATATTTAACTGTTTCATTCGGCCTAAACTTCCTTTTTAAAGTTAATACAAAACACAAATATATCATTCCGCGCTATAGGTGAATTTTAATGTAACAATGAATTAGATTTTTGATTAACATAGAGAAATCATCGTCTTTATCTCCAGTGAAACTAGAAACGAAACAATTTATAACCTATTAATAATAATTTGTAAATGCAACATATTTATGCCATGTAATAAACTTACTTGTAAGTATAAATTGGAAAATGCCATTGCATTTGTTGATAATTTACATTCAAAAAAATATTTTATTTAATTATATAGAATTAGAATATTATTTTGTATATTATTATCCATAAAAAATGCATAAATACAATGTTCTGTGTACTTATTCATTTAAATGGTGATGAAATGCTAAGTTATTTTTTCATAATATTTTTTTATTATTTCATAAATTTTCTATATTTTTCGTTTTAAGTGTCACCTATAACAATAAATAAATCATTAAATAATAAGACGAGAATAGATATTTTTACAAAGTAATTTGTATATAGCAAATTGTGTTTCAAATATTAAAACCTTTACAAAATATAAAATGCCTTTCCTTTTCATAAAATTATATTACGCCGGTATATTCTAATCTTAGAGTATGCAAGCAATAATGAGTATATTATAAACATAATTTTTCTTAAGCTGGGTCCACACGCAACGACTATTCGTCGGCGACTCGCTGACGATGGCCAAATCTGCGTGTGGACGTGAATCATGAAGTTAGAGAACAGGAGAACGATCACTGTAGAAAATAGTGTCCAGAAATATGAACACCATAAGTGAGGCGCTGCGATCGCTCGAGGTTCGGTCAATAAAAGTCATTTTGAGTCTATTTTTCCGATCAGATGCTAAACCACTTGCATATCCACGCACAATAAAATATTTCTCCATTTTTTTATGTTTCTTTTTGTCAAAAATTACGGAGCATGAAAATTTTCTCATTAAAAATGAAATGAAAATTTGTACATTATTCAACTAACTTCATCTACTTGTACTCATAAACAGCTAACTTCGCAGTTACTACTCACCGTCGTCAGCGCCGCTATACATTCTACAATTTTCAAGGACAGGCGGGCTATGCTTTAGTACGTAGTGATCGTTCTACTGTTCTCTAACCTTCATGACGTGAATATTAGCAGCGACTAAATTCTGCCAACGCAGCGATCGAATCGCTGTAAATCTGAAGTCTATAGTTGCCACTCGCCAGTGACATCGCATCATTACTGTGTGTGTGGACGTGGATGCGCGCGCTCACTGCGAATTTAAAGTAGTGGAACTACGTAAATACTCTCGTGCGTTTGTGACATGCGTAGTTCCCTCTCTTAGTAGTCTGTGTTTGTGATGGATTTTATTGAATTATACTGGAATTACCTTCCTTATGGATGATTAAGAGAAAAGATTACTCAAACAAATTTAAAGAATGCAATGAAGTTTTAGTTGAAAATTTTAAGATGGAGTCACACGCTGATCACTGATTTATGATAAAAAACATTAAAAATAGGGTTCACTAAAGTTAGCCCCCCCGAGGATTTTATGGTTTGACATTTTCTAAAAAATTTACAAATCACTTACAAAGAATATACTTAATATAAAGAAAAAAAAATTAAGGCCGATTTTTTTTCAAATTTCATTATCACTTATCGTTAGTTCGTGGTTTGTTCTTGATTGTTCTCTATCAATAATTTTTTCGTTATGGTTGGTCTTTTTATATTCATTAATGTTTGTTCTTTGACAAAATACGTTTGTTATATCGAAATGTTTTGAGAAAGGAGCGAGTCAAGTGGCGTGCGATAATTTTAGCGTTAAGTATGGTTCAAGTTCTTGATTTAGACAAAGTTTCATTTCTAAAAAGTATGTAATGTATTTTTAATCAACAATTGAGATAAATGTAAGGTATAACGGCCGTTTATGTACGAAAAATTTTTTTTTTAATAAAAATGATACGTATCCTTAAATTATGAATTAAAAACTGTTGGTTATTATATACTATTTATTAACCTTTCCATGTTAAAATAGCACCAAACTTGAAAATTTGATTGATTTACGAAAAAAATAAGGACAGAAAACGGGCGGGCGACCACATAAAAGCGATGTTCACATACGACTGCCACACAGGCTGTTTATTAGAAATTTCTAAACATTGTAGTACTTTAGTAGCTTTTTATCGCATCCTCTTTCTTTGGTGTAAAATCCATACTAATAATGCGAAAGTGTGTTTGTTTGTTTGTTTGTTTGTTTGTCCTTCTTTCACGTCGCAACAGAGCGTCGGCATGGCATGATTTTTTTGTATGGGGATAGTTCGATGGCTGTAGAGTGACATAGGCTACTATTTTTTAGCGGAAAAACATATCATTCCCGTGGGAAAATCGAATATGTTGCAAAATTAAATTCAGCTAGGTGGCGCCACCGTGATTCTACAAGACGGACGACGGTACGATGGACGAACACAGAAGGTCAGAATATCTGGATTATTATGTCTTTTTATCAAAATTAAGATAAAAAATGTATGGATCTGTATTTTTCCACGCAGGACCGGGAAGAGAACGATAAAAAACATAAAATTCACCATCTGATTTTCTTCAAACGTTTTGGTGCATTGTAATTCACAGAATAGGCGATAACCTTGCAGACGATATTAAGTAATCCGTTGATGTCCTGCCTACCCCGCAAGGGTTACAGGCGTGATTATAAGTATGGATCAGAAATACTATCACCACCTGTCACGCTTTCACCCTTAACTATCACTTAACTGTGGTAGAAACAGTTCTTAATAAGCCTTAGTAATATTTGTGTCGTTCATTGTAATAGTGAATTATCTCCATGCAATGAAGTTTTGAGAAATTAAGAGTTTTGTTAATTAACGCGTAGAAAAAAAACTACAAATTTTTATTCAATGCTTTATATTTTTTATTGTAGTTAACAAATGAAATATTATAATAGTATATAGTTACTTAAAAATAAGACGAAGTTATTTTAATGAAACGAATTATAATTTTTTTTTGTGGACTTACTTCACTGTTAAAGTGACGAGTTATATTTATTGTGATTTCGTTCAGTGGTTAATCGTAGGTTATTTCGTCATCAGACGAACGTTCATCAGCATTACGTATGCTTGACCGTGTTGGAATGTCTACAGTAAGGTTTTTGTAAAATTGATGGTAAATTGGTGGAATGTATGGGAGAAGATCAAGCATATCCTTCTTCTTAGCAATAGTGACTGGTCTTCCTGAAGGATAGAGTGGGCCTTGTTGAATATTGTACAAGTAAGCTGGTCGTCCTTGTTGCTTTTTTTGATAGATCTACTTTGTAGAAGGGCATGTCAGCGTTGAGCGTTTCTTTAAATTGAAATTGTAAAGGATGATTCCTCTCAAACCTCAGCCATCTAATATTCAGCCAGTTGAAGTCGTAACCACAGGTTGTTTTTTTTCTGTTGGTAATACATTTTTCTAATGCCGCAGTGCTTTTAAATTCGGAATTTTTTATTTCGGTTACAACAAAATGTGATTCTTTGCGTTTGGCTGTTTTCATGATCTCAATTCATTGATCCGGGCTATAAATTTGTCCATGACGGCGACTTGCGCTCTCAATTATCCCAAATTCCCCATCATTAGGCAAATAAGAATGCCCGGACACTAAAAACTTGTGGTCTATGGTGGTTATACTAGTATCCGGGTCTTGTACGAGCTTTAAAAGGGAAAGGGAAGTCTTAATGTTTCGATTTTGTCCAGTGCAAGAATCGGAATACATGATGACGTGATTTTGTGTTACCGCGTGAGTTTTTAAATGTTTCACGAGACAGACTGCAATGTCTTGAGACCCTCGCCCTCCTTCTATCTCATTCCAGACGTTCATGTACCCCGTGTTGTTATTAAAACA